CCTTGTATTTTGGAGCCTATTCCAGTTTGGTTTGGTGAGATGAGAACTGAAGCCCCAAAATCAGATACTTTGGCTGTGTAATGATCATCCAACAGTATATTCATCGACTTCACATCACCATGAATGATTGGTGGGTCTGCTAAAGAATGCAAATAGTCAAGTGCAAGTGCAGTCTCAGCAGCAATCCTTAGACGATTCTTCCATGATCCTAAAATTTGTGATCTCTTGCCATGAATATGATGGTGGAGGGTTCCATGTGAAATGAATTCATACACCAACAATGGGACTTTGGTCTCCAAACACAGACCTAAGAGCTTCACAACATTCTTATGGTTAACCTGAGAAACAACGCCGATTTCATGTTGAAATTCCTGGTTCATTCTTGCCTTGTCCACATCTTTGGCCTTCTTAACCGCAACTAGGATGTTGTCTCCTAAAACTCCCTTGTAGACTGAACCGAAGCCTCCTTCTCCGAGGAACAGGCGCCTGTCGTAATTGTTTGTTGCCTTTACTAATTCTGCCTCGCTAAAAATCCTGATTCTTTGGTGCTTCAATATCATACCTCCGTTATCTCTAAAATATTTCTCCTTCTTCCTCTTTTGACAGAGAATGAAAATCAAGATGGTGATAATTATAACAAGTATTACCCCTCCAATCACTGCATGCATTTTAAAGGAACAAAATCAATCAACTTCTCAACATTTATACGGATAGGGGATGTTGGTTCGTTTTGATAAGACTGGTTACCTATTGCAATGGTGGTTAGTCGGAGTCCTTTGCAGCCAACTTTACCGTCACCACGCATGCCAAGCGGGCAGTCGCATGTGTAATTCCCAATGGTATTCCGACAAGTACCTTGGCATGGAAAACTTTTCGGGTCTTTGCACTCGTCAATATCTGGAATATTTTAAATTAGAACAATCCATGGGACCATGGATGTAATTAACTCAAACTCTATATGTTCAGGAAAAAGGAATTTTATATAATGAAGATTAAGTGTATGTGGTACCTTGGCATCCTTGTGGAAGATAGGGATTTCCGTTAAACCCTGGCTGGCAATGACAACGAGATCCACCACCAGTCTCGGAATAAGCGCAGCTAGCATTAAGGCCGCATGAATACCCTGACTGACCTTCACTTGCTTGGCAGTCTCCCTCTCCGACCACCCATTCAAGCACAGCAAGCGGCAACGGGGTTTCATCAGTTTTGTAACCTAGAAAGTTAATTTTCGAGATGTTGTAGGAATTTGCAGCCACAAAAGCATAACTGCAGGGGTTGAAATCCAAAACACCACTGTGATTATCTACGCTGGTAAGCTCAATGCTCAACGTTTTGAGGTGCTTGGGGACGGAGGTCTGGCAGCATCCGAAACCAGAGCAAGAACCATCATTTTCAATATCATTACGATCACTGCAGAAAGCTAGGCACCCGCTTCCGAATCTTCCTTCGCTGTCAGACATAAAGACCAGGGTGTCGCAGCCTAAAGCAGTCAACTTGTTGTGGGTAGAGGAGATGGTGAAAGGCGGCCATCCAGTGAGGTCGATTAGGGTATAGTTGTGTGTAGATAAACCGCTTCGGTTGTAGCATTCGAAGGCAGGGAAAATAC